CACCATGACATTGTAATGCTACAATTTCTGAGTCAATATGTTGGCGTACCATGCTGTAGTCAGCACATCTCTTCTGCATTACTTTGGACAAATGGAGAGATGGCCTGAAAGCAAAATGTATGTAAATGTTGTTCCATTCAGTTCTTTCACATCCGAGGAAGCTATTCTTCTCTAAGAAACCAATTTGCTGTAACTTATTTCCAACACAAATATGATTTATCATCATTTGTCACATCTACTTCATACTCTTACCTAACTTTACTGTGCCTTGATGGTAAAACAAAGACAAGAAAATATATTTGATTGGTAGGAAAAGCTCTTTCCAAGGGTGATTACAATTTCCTGTAAATCAGCAACTTCTTGGCCATTAGTTTGTAAAAGTGAAAAGGAATGCACTTCCCATTCACTCTTGAAATCTTATTTCAAAGACCTCGGAAGAGATTCTGGAAGTATATCTAATACAGGATTCCTACTGACTTTTGTTGTTTGATCCATTTTGCATGAGGCTTCTGAAAGGCTATGCTAATTGGTATGAGTGGTAAATATGTGACAGATATCACAAGCTCATTTGTGAGCCCTGCATGCCCTTTAGCAGTGAAGTTTTCCATGAATGAGGATACCGTGGAAAACATGTCAAGGTTTTAGGGATGGTAAGTACTGTTGTCTAGACAATACGGTCTGTTACAGTATATATATATGTAATCATTAACACATTGGAGATGATTGATGGTAGGATCAAGTTCCAAAAGAGGGTGAAGGAGGGCCAGATGTCCTTCTCCAGCTCTCACTGTGACATGTTAGCCACATAATATCAACTAAGCTAATCTCCCTAACAGTGATGAGAAAACAATCATTGCTTTCTGGATATATGCTTCCAAAGAAAAACCACATTGGGCTATCTGATGTGTCCACCACAGGGAAGTGAACCCCAGATATTAGCATTGTAAGTCTGTATCCTCACCACTGTAGAATGAGAAAAAGTAAAAAATTAACAAATCTATGGAAATAAAAGTCTGACTAAGGTCATGGAAATAGAGACACTCACTAGAATGAAGATCAAAAGGTTATGATGGTGTAAAACACAGGAGCTCATCTGTTGATGGATATATGTGCAACAATACATACAATAACTCTGAGCTTACATCCCACAAAAACTAGTAAGATTTTGTTAAATATTACGTATCTTGTACACAAAGAATGATGTTATTTTAATGAAGTCTTTCTACTAAAAATGTTATTTATATATTGTAGTTATTTTCATTCAAACTATGAACAGTTCAAGTGCAAGGTAATTTTAATTATAAAAATATTTTTCTTTATCTTATAGTTTCAAGTTTTATTTGCATAGCCTCTTAAAACCTCCTGATTGAATATCAAAAGCTTTTTTAAGGTAAATGTTTATATTTCATTTTCTCTATCATATCACTGACTGTAGATATTATCATCAATGTACAGTGCAATGAAATGTTTAAAATTAAAAAACAGAAAAATGTACATACCTTTTAATTTTTCGTAGAATATTTAAAAAATCTTCTTCTGGTTATATTCACAATTTTAGGCCTTTTACTTTTCACATATAGCTAATTTTTAATTTTATATTTTCCTTTCCTGTCCTTTAGTGTTTATTAATCATCTGGACACAAGTCAACAGTGCCCTCAGGGTGTATTACAGTATCTTTGGCAGAGATGCGCAAGCCTTCGGCAAAGTTTTCTTGCACTCGTGTAATATCGTACGACTTGAGAACCAAGGCAAAGTTTGAGATATATTTAAAAACATTTAAACCTTTCAATTATGCATTTTAAAACATAAATTACTAAAATATAAAAGTAAACTGTCTCTCTAAGTATAATATATTTAGGTAAAAAACAACTGTAAGTGCTATTGTGAACACAGCAACCAAAAATAGTACCGGCAGTTACATCTACCTGAGGATGGCAACTCTGCGCTAATTTCAAAATATCCATTGTTGAATTGTAGTGCAAAATGAGCTCTTTCTAATGGTTATAAACACGTTCATCAAATATGTACATATGGCCTGTAACTCCCAAGGCTAAGAACAGAACTGAACTCAACCAAAAACTTTGGAACATACATGTAAATAGTGCAAAAATTCAGATTTATGAATGCTCAAAACTGAAGTTTTAAGTATTTTTTAATGGTTTATTTTAAAGTAAAGGAAATAAAACTTAGATAACACGAAACTTCGAATTATAACGTACATTATAACGTTTATTTCATTGACATATATGGATTGTAAAGTTGTTTAATTAAATTTTGAATGTAACTCAGTGACTTGTGCAGAATGGAGTTTAAAAGGGGTACCTGTTGTGAAAGGGTTAATGCTTTCCATTAGTATGTCCACCAAACTAGAATGGACTATGTCTGCTGAAGTCTTCATAAGAAAAGGAGATGGCAACTTTATAATGCCATCAGTCTGATTAATTTCCTCTCCTGGAGACACATAAAAGTAACATTGCTTGAAAGTATGACCAGTAAATATATGGGTGGGCCACAGACTAGAAAGGGATGTAATGAGTGGCACGTTCATGGAGGGTCACCCAGCAGTGTTACACTTCCATGAACCCATCTAATCTGTCATAAAACTGTTTTGAAAAAAATGTCTCCTCTGATTAGCAAGAAAACCCCCAATAGTTCAACTGTATTAGTGTAGCTATTTTTCCTAGGTTGGGAGTATTTCTTTGGATTTTTGAGCAGTTCTATTTTTTTTTCCTGAGAGGTCTTTTAACCTCTGTGACCCTTCCCTGGATTGTAGGGGTAAGTCCCCATCTGATGGATGAGATTCAGATTAGTATAAATAGAATTAAATAATGATCCTGCACATTGGAAGCGAGGATAGTGGATCCAATTACTTACTGGTACAACTTGTTTACTCGTAGGCACAGTGATAGGAGTATACATTGGTTTATCAATGGCCTTTCCATGGAGGGCAAGAAAACATTTTAAGGGTTAGAGAGAGACCGTGTAGTGAGAATGGAGATTTCCTTGCATCTGAATAAGAGATGTTATTCAGGGTCTTAACGCACTCTTAACTCTTTCTCTTCAATCCATTTAAGGTATGATCAAAATAAAATGGGTGGGAATCAAAGCAGTTGACAAAGTGTGGTGCCAACTTGCACTCATAGAGATGTGGTTTTTGCCACCACAATGAGCACAAGTTAAACGTTTCTAGCCTAGTATTTTGTGTTTTTGCATGGTCAAAATGAAGAATCAATTTGTCAGTAGTAATGTCTGATTTCTCCCCTTAAACTACCTACAAAATAAAATTATAAATAAAACTGTAAGATTTAAAATTTTCTTTTTTTATGAATGTTTATTAATATTTATTTTGGTAAAATTATTAAAAAACTCTAAACCAAAACTGAAAATATGTAGATTTTGCACAATGTGTTTCTTATTGTTTAGACGAAATAGTTTGAAAATAATGCTTTTCTAAAGACCACGATGAGACAAATTGCAATATTCAACTTTTTCCATTTTATTTTTACACCTTCCAAGTTTCTGATGCATAAATATATTGTTCAAAAAACTGGGATTATTTTATTTCTCATAATCTATTTGATGTCAAACTTTCATCCTTCTTTACATGATTGTAGACACTATGTAGTGTTACTTCCTGGAAATAATGATATAAAAATTAAACCTTTTGAAAGTGCTTGAGTTATAGGGTTCTGTATTTTTGAACCTAGATATCTTTCTAACTTCCTTGAAACAAAGTTAATAGATAATCTGTTTTAACAGAAAAATAAACAATGTTGCATTATACTTCCTACTATATAAATCTGATTAAGCAAGTGAATTGTAATTATTATCCCTTTAATGATCTAAATGACCAAGGTGTTTTCAGTTTATCCACAGATTAGATTTGACCACACATTACCTCTTGAAGTACAGGGATTACAGGTGGGTTCCTCTGTTGTAAGTAGTACAAAACCATAAGAATGTATGCATACGATGACAGGCTTCCACGGGAAGCATCAGAGATATCACAAATCTGTAAATAAACAGAATGGCTGATAGTTGTCTTTAACAAACACTAATCTCTATTTTGTAGTTTAATAGAAACATATAAAAAATATTTATTACGAACATAATGTCCAGTAAAAATGTATCATTTATTGTGGCAAACCTTTGTGAATTTCTTCATGGTGTAACCCAAGATCTGCACTCTCACATCAATTTTAGAATACACATTCAACATGTGAGTATTCTGTTGTGCCTGCAAGAAGAATATATAAAGTTAAAGAGCAAAATGTAATGTAAGTTATGTTCAAATTCTTGAAGCTTAAGGTCAACTAATAATCTAGAATTATGATGTAACACATCAATAAAAAATCACTTTAAAAATATAAAAACTTCTTGTTCAGTTTTCAAATCAAGCACTGCATGCTGAAGAATTGGGTGTTTGAGTGTTCTTTCCACGTTAACCTATATAAAGTTGGTTTAAATACCTTTACATGGCAGAAAATGTTCAGCCAATAGGTAGAAAATATAATCAGTTATGTGGTATTAATTTTGAGTATTATTTGGTTTTTGAATAAAATAAAGTTTAGAATGCCAAATTCTGTATATTTAAATCTAACATTTTATCTAATAGATTATTTTTCAATACTTTTCTAAGCACTATCAATTATAAATGGATTGTAATTGGAGCTCTGTTATTCTAAGTTTAATTTTTTCTGTGTAAATCAATCAATCTTTTGTTTTATTGAACCATTTCTGATAAAACTTCAATATTAGTATTTATTACAATTGAAAATGTTTTGAGTTTTATAATGCAATAAATTGTAAAATTAAACTTTGAAGTGTTATAAATTTGCTGTATTTTATTATACTGATTCTTTCAAACATAAGCTATCGTTAGCATATCAATTTTTTAAAATATAAATATAGAAACACAAGATTCTTGGTGAACAATGAACTGTTCTATAAGTCTGCTCAGCTTCTATATAAATATAGAAACACAAGATTCTTGGTGAACAATGAACTGTTCTACAAGTCTGCTCAGCTTCTATATAAATATAGAAACACAAGATTCTTGGTGAACAATGAACTGTTCTATAAGTCTGCTCAGCAACATTCTTCATCACATGTAGATTGAAACTTTTTTCATTTTCACATTGTGTACTATCTTGTATTTCTATTGAAAAATTTACCTCACACAGCTTGTTTTACTTTACATTTTTTAACCCCAAGTTTTGAAATATAAAATAAAAAATGTGACTTGAAAAAAAAAGCGTAATAACATCTTCAAAACAGAAACCTTCAACTGGGTGATGCTTTGAACACCTACTCTTTATCAAGCTCTGTTTAAATCTTTTAAGCTGAAAACAAAGCTTGACAAAGTGTGGTTGTTCAAAACATTGTCCAATAAGTTTTTTTCAACTTAAGTGATATTACTCCTCTTACTTTTTCTCCTAATTTTTACCCAACATACCAGTACATTGTATAAACTAATATCTCCTTCTAGCCTGGTTAACTTGTCCATAAACTTTACAATTGGTACTTTGGCTGTTGTTATAGCAACAATGTTAGTAAGACCCCATTTATGGTGTAGTTTTTCTGCCAGCTTCTCAATGATTGCAGGATGCTGATTTTTACATGTCTAAGAAAAAAACAAAGAAAATTAGTCTATCTGAAAAACATAAGGATTAATAGATTAGGATGTTTAAACTGTGTTATTTAATATTTCTATATACAGAACAAACAAAGGTTTATTATAAAAAAAGAAAGATATAAAGCTAGGGAAAGTATAATGATTAACTATATTACAAAACTGTTGCAAAATCTCATCATCATTACATGTGTTACATGTTAGTTTCTCCATGTGAAAGGGAAAATAACATATACAATAAGCCAAGTTCTTAAGGTCCCAATTTGCTGTTCTTTATTTTTAAACCACCAGATTCTTCTTAAAAACTTGATCTTCTACTCACCAGAAAACAATCAAATATTAAACCTAACGTAAATTAAAATGGTTTGTAAAGTGTACACACTTTTTAACAATTGAAGAAAACATATTAAATATTGAAGTACAAGATTACATAAAAAACAGTCCTTTCTAACTAATTACGTGAAAAGTTTATTACAAGTTTAACATATTAACACGTGTAAATGTAGAATGTTTAGAAAAGGTTTTGTCACTATCAGGTACAGGTAGTTTATCTAGATACAGGTGTGTGTGCATGTATATATATATATATATAAACACACACACACACACACACACACACACACACACAACCACTATGTATGTATATATAGATAGATAGATAGAATAAACACACGTACAGAGTATGGAACAAAGAAGTCATGCGACTGGAGATTATATTGTAGCTTAGTAAAGATATCGTGGTATGCTGAGGCATTGGTTCAGTACGAGTCTGTTTTGTCATTTCAAATGAATTCTTTGATTTTTGCATTTGTTGATGTTGGTTCTTCATTTAAAATTAAAGGGTTTTTAACCCCTTTTGTGGCAAGCTTGTGTAATTTGCAGAAATCAAGTCACAAATTTCACTTGTACAACAATACATGCAGTAACTCTGAGATTTCTTGAAGTACCCTCTCAATAACTGGTATGATGTTATCATAATTAAGTATTATTACTAAACATATATTATTTTTCTGTTGTAGTTACTTGCATTCAAAGTATTAACAAATCGAGTGCAAGGTGATTGTCATTTTAAGTATAAAAATACTTTTCTTTGTTTTATAGTTTTCATATTTCATTTGCATAATCTCTAGAGCCTCCTAAAAGGATATCAAAAGTTTTTTAAGGTAAATGTTTATATTTTATTTCTCATTTTCTTTATTATATCACTAGCTGTTATCATTAATGTACAATGCAATGAAATGATTAAAATCAGGAAATAAAAAAATATATACCTTTAGAATATCTTTAAAGATGTTTTACTTATATTTGTAATTTATGATGCAAAGTATGATGCATATTTAAAAAATGTTTAATCCTTTTAATTATGCATTTTAAATCATAACTAATATATAATTAACTAAAATATAATAGTAAGACCTAAATAAAACTTAAACTGTATCTCTAACTATAACATATTTAGTTAAGAAACAATTGTAAGTTTTATAATTGATCAAACAGCCAACCATACTATAGTCAATTTCCTGTACTCCGCAATGACAACTTGACCCCAATTTCAAAATAACCATTGTTAGATTATACTGTAAAATGAGCTCTTTCTAATGGTTAGACACATGTGTATATAACATCTACATGGAGACTATAAAGCTCAAACAAATCTGTCAAAAGTGGGTGTGGCAACTTGACCCCAATTTCAAAATAACCATTGTTAGATTATACTATAAAATGAGCTCTTTCTAATGGTTAGACACATGTGTATATAACATCTACATAAAGCTCAAACAAATCTGTCAAAAGTGGGTGTGGCAGCTGTCAGGGGTTGAAAAAATGTATTTGTTTATTCTAACTGTATTCATTCAGAGAACTTTGAATGAGGTTAGTCAAAAGGTTATCTAAGCATCTCATTGTCTAGATGTACCTCTACAGTACTGCCATTATATTACTGAACACACAGAGTGTCAACGTAGAAAATTTTCATAGTCTGTTGGTCACATGACAATACATCTGAAGTTTTAATTAGTTTTTAAAGGTTTATTTCGAAATAAAGAACTTGAAATTTGGATAAAATAAAACTTGGAATTATAATATACATTATAATGTTAATTTAATTCATATACATTGATAATAAAGGTGTTTAATTAAAGTTTAAATGTAACACAGTGACTTGTGCAGCAAAGCATTTAAAGGGGCTCCTGTTGTGAAAGGGTTAACAGATATATTATGATTTATGTTCAGTGAAACTGGTTTTCAATTTTCTTTTGGTTTCACTGATGTAGAAATCTTGACAGTTATTACACATTATTTTATAAATGATATTTGTATTGTATATTTCTATATAATTGTTATTCAGCAAGGATTTTAACTTAGGGCCAGGCTTTAGAGTAGTGCATATTGGTGTATAGAAGACATATTAATACTAGAAATAAATGACCTTATAACACCAAAATCTGTCTATTTATTATTTAAACCATTTGAAGCTTTGTACTGTCAGTTTTGGTTTGTGTTTTAGTGAACAGTCCTGAATGAGCTGTAAAGTGAAACATTGGGTGGCTAATTAAATAAAAACAACATTCTGGTGTTATAAGGTCATTTATTTCTAGTATTAATAGGAATTTTATGTTTACTGGCAAGCCTTGTGAATAATTTGTCAACTGATTTTACAACACCAATTTCAGAAACACTCTAGACCAACTAAACACAAAAGCTTTACTAGCTCACTTTGATGTTGAGTTACTTTTCGCTGAAGTTCCCACAAACGAAGCTTGTAATACTGCACATGAACTCTAGATCAATGGCCCCAACTCATTAATCTACATCCCTTGTACAATTTATCTCCCACTCACAATTCACTGCAACCAAAACCAACTTTCAACAATAAAACTTATCTTTAAATAAATAATTTAAGCATGGTAAACTTTGTTTCACCTGTTATTGTCAACATATTTATGATACAGTCAAGCCATAAGTTCTACACTTCATCCCCCCACTTCCTTCAATTGATATGAATATTTCAAATATGTAAACTACATTCAATCCAGCATTAAATTCACCATTGAACACAAAAACAACAAACAATTATCTTGTCATAACTTCATTATTATTAGATCTAACACACAATTCCAAACCAACATTCATTGTAAGAACATTCAATTGGCCTGTGTATTTCCTGGATTTCTAATCATAAAACCAAACAAAAATCAATATATATACATGTTTAAAAATGTCATAAAGACAGCTTCAAGAGTGCCTAGTGGAAACAATCATGAAGAAATCAAACTTTTGAAGTATTCCTTTATTCAGGCCAACAAATTTCCACCAGTTATTATGGAAAAAAAATTAACACAACCATCACAAAATAAACCTCAAAACTCAATTCATACAAGAACTGATACTAAAGACCCAACCAACAATGCAGGATTACACTGTAGTTTACCATTTATCCCAGAAATCAGTTCAAAAATAATTCACTTTTGGACAGAAACTGTGATTAAACATAAAATTCCTGTCAATTTCAAGTTCACTCAAAAGCTTAGGCCTAAACTATAATCTCTAATAAAAAAATAATGTAGAAACACACAATATTAACATCCTTTATAATAACTGTCCACAATTATATTTCAGTGCAACCAGATGAGAAATGGAAACCAGGTTCACTGATCATATTAGAAAACCTCTTATATTTACTACCACTGCAAAACAAAAAGTCATTGTACACCAATTAAAAAACTGTCATTTTAAACAGAGAACCAAACATCAACATACATAAAATGAAAAACGTCTTCTTAATTGAACAAAACAGTGTCACTCTGAAACAACAACTCTGGTGTGTCAAGATGTCTTTATTAATTAACCCTTTTGAGATGGGTCACGGGTGAAAGGACATGTCATCTCGTTTGTTGACTCGCATTAAAAATTTTATTGAACTACTATTTTATGAATTTATGTCAAAAGTTTGGTATCAAACTGTAGATTATAATTCAAATTTCAGTACTATACAGTACTCAATTTCTTAATTTAAAAGTAAATATTAAATAACACAGATAAACATAGATTTTTGTGTGTCACGTGGTATGTTGAATTAAGCGCTGGTTCAAATTACATACTTGTGATGTGAAAATACTAAGTCTATAGTTTTCTACAAATTAGAAACTCAAATTACTGATATTGACAAGCTAAAATATAAAATAAAAATGTCTTATCTTTTGTATTTGCTAAGATGTTGCTCATATAATAAATCAAACAGTGGCACCCAACCCACCTTTTTCCA